CCTGCTGTCTCCAGAGAGCCTCTGCCAGCCAGGCCCACCAGCGGCTAGCCAATGGGACCAGAACCACAGCGGGAGAGTGCACGCACACCTGACCCTGGGCCACATCCAGAGTGAGTGCGCCCGGGAGCCCAGGCGCGCTCCCCACATCGCCTGCAGCCAGACTCACGCCGGGATTAGCCAGGTGTGGCGGAGACCCCAGGGTGCCCGCACACACCACGCCGGGGGTCAAGCGACCCGCCCCATATCTGTCCAAGCCAGAGTCTGCTTCCAGGTAAGTGCAGCAACACGGTTAGAGGCCCTGTGCCCTTTAGCAATCCTCCCTTCATCAGTCAAGGTAGGTTGCAAGGGGAGAGGGCTAGATCATACAGATGACACTTGCTGCCCAGCTCCCTTCACTGAGGAAATAAAACATTCTCGTCCTGCAAAGCAGGAGACAATTTCAGGAACAGACTCTACAAACATGCAGGGAACAGCTTTCCCTTCCCTCCCAAGGGACCATACACACCATATACTCAAATGAATATACTAACATCTCCTGTAGGGCCCAATTCCAAACCAACCTGCTCTCTAAAGTCAGACCAATGGCTCTACCAATCCCTCCAGGACATGCAGGAAACAAAGACCTATAAAAGCAATTTCTCTCACTCACCATCTCTAAGCCACAAAGGAGTTCAGGCTTCAATAGTGAAAATCTGACAGTGACCCAGTTCCCAAAGAATGACTCAGCAGACTGAGGGCACTCACTCAAGTGTCTGAAGAGTAGAGTCCTGCATGAGTGCCTTTGGATGCTGGGAAGGAAATGCCCCACACAGGCAAGCACTAAGAAGGCATGTGCTGGGGGACAGAAAGCATTGTTCAGATGTGGTGAAACAGAGAGCTGCTCACCAGGAGGGAAGCGCCGGAGAGACCGTCTGACGTCCAGCAGCACTTGCTGGTAGTCCTTGCTCATCTGCCGCAGGTCCTTCCCTGTCAGAGGAAGAGAAGCCTGTTATAAGAAGGTCTGGGAGGCCAGATAAGGGGCAAAATTTTCTTGGGTTTCTGCTGTACCTCAGTGTAGATTAAGCCTAGCAAGCTCAAGGCCCTGGGTTTGATCCCAGCACCACAAAACAAGCAAACAGCAACAGAAACTGTGTTCTGGAATGACATCCAGGTCTAAAGGACACACAGCAGCCTTTTTCTGAAGGGGACATGACTCAAGACACAACACCTGGAACCACACACTGTGTACAGCTAGAATCCCAGCTACTCAACCAGGTGTGGTGCTGGCCCACACCTGTAAGCCCAGTACTTGGAATGCTCTGGCAGGAGGATTGTCACGAGTTTCAAGCCAGCCTAGGCCACAGAGCAAGACCTGGTCTCAAAATAAAAATATTAAAAGGGGAGGGAAAAAAAAGACTGAGGGACACAGCTCAGTGGCAGAATGCTTGCCTAGCACATGCAGGGCCCTAGATTTGATCCCCACTAGCATAAAAACCAAAAACCAGTAAATGTACAACATTTGTCAGGGAATCTCTCATTTAGCTCTAAACCCATGCTGTTCATGTAAGTCTGATGGGCAAAGAGGAGGGAAGAGACTGTCTAGGAGAAACATGGCTGGGGTGTGTGGGTGTACATGTGTGCAGAGAAGTAAGTAGGCCTTGGTCTGTATGGGCTGCCACTGTCCTCACAGGGAACTATCCATATCTCCAAAGTGAGGATATTCCCTTCCATATGCACCTTTCAGGTTACCATGAGGACTGAGCAGAATTATGAATGTGGGCACAGGATGTATTCAGCATGCAAATACTGTGGCACTTGCTATAAGGGACTTGAGCATGGGAAGGACTCTGGAATGAAATCCCAGTGGGTACTGTGGAACAACTTTATACTAAAACTTTACACTGGACCTTAAGAAGTATATACATCCCCCTCCCTTTCTCTTTAGGCTCTCATGTAGCCCTGCCTGGTCTCAAACTCCCTATGTATCAAGGATGAACTTGAACTTGAACCCTAATCTTCCTGCCTCCACCACTACAGTGTTGGGATTACAGGCATGTGCCACCACACCCAGTTTTATGCAGTGCTGGGATTAAACCAGGTCCTTATGTATGGTAGGCAAACACTATTCACTGAGCTACAGTCCCAGCCCAGAACTGTAATTTCTCAATAAAAAGTAATACAGCACTACTTTAAAAATTATGAATGTAGGGCTGGAGAGATGGCCCAGCGGTTAAGAACACTGGTTGTTTTTGCAGAAGACCAGGCAGGGTTCGAATCCCAGCACTCACATGGCAGCTAACAACTGTCGGTAACTCCAGTTCCAGGGGATCTGACAGCCTCTTCTGTCCTCCATGGGTATTGCATGACATGGGTGCATTTACCTACATGCAGGCAATACACACATACATGTAAAATAAAAATAAATAAAATATATATAAAAAATTATGAATGTAGGGACTAGAGAAATGGTTCAATGGTTAAGATCACTTACTACTCTTGCAGAAGAATCAAATTTGATTCCCAGCACCCATGTTGGGCAGTTCACAACCACCTGGAACTTCAGCTCCTGGGATCCAATGTTCTAGTCTCTGCAGGCACTTGCACTCATGTGGACATACCCACACACAGACACACATAAATACACATAATTAAAAATTTTTAAATTATGAATGTAGCTGGGCGTGGTGGTGAACACCTTTAATCCCAGCACTCGGGAGGCAGAGGCAGGCGGATCTCTATGAGTTCAAGGCCAGCCTGGTCTACATAGTGAGTTCCAGGACAGCTGGGGCTACAGGGAGACCCTGTCTCAAAAAGACCCCCCTCCAAAAAAATAATTATGAATGTAGGGCTGGCAAGAGGTAGGTAACGGTACCTGCTGCCAAGCCTGATGACCTGCGTTTTATCCCCAGGACCCACATGGTGGAAGGAGAGAACCAACTCCTGCAAGTTGTCCTCTAATATTCACATGCACATCGTGACACACAACTTCCCCACCACCAAATAAGTAAGTGGAATTTAAAAAACTGTTAAAAAAAAATTATGAATGTAGTGTTGGTGACATGTCTCAGTGGATGAAGGAGCTTGCCTCCAAAGCTGACAACCTAAATTCAATCCCTGGGGCTTACATGTGGTGGAAGGAAAAAGCTATCCCCTGTAAGTTGTCTTCTGACTTCCAAACACATGCTATGGCATGTGCATGTGTGCATGAGCACACACACATTAAATGTAACAATAAAAGAAGTACTCAAAAAATTGTGAATGTAGAGAACCACAGGCATGCTGAGCTAGTCAGAAAGGAATAAACATAAAGGATCTAAGAACTTTCGACACTGAAGAGGAGACAAAGCTTGTAGTCAGTTGACAAGTCCAACACAACGTGACAGGAGGGAGTTTCTTGTCACATACACAAGTGCACATTCCCCTCATCCCAAAGCAAGTGCTATGTTGATCTCCCTCACAATCCACACCCACAGCTGTCAGGGGAAGGATTCATTCATATTCATACTCCCCCCCACTCTTTTCTTCATCTTATTAGCAGACAGAGGTGGTTTAAATTTGAGGGGAACATCATCCCGGGACTGAGCAAGCACCTGACTCCTAACAAAAAGCCCACTGCTCTGAGGTGGCCAGTTCCAAACACTGAAACATGTGGCAGCTGGGCACCCACTTGGCACCACAACACTGAACTTCTCAGCATCCAAGTTGTTTTAATTACCTCCAGAATTTGGCACACACCAGGCGCACAGCCAAGATTGGCCCCATAGCCTCCAAGTACTGCTTTCCTGCCCCTGGGGCATCTTTCATTCATTGGACAAATCTTGGTTGTGCTATTCTGTTCACTACCACCCAGGGACTTACTTTCATGACATGGCTTGCCAATTAGTTAGGTAGCAGTTCTGAGCAAAACTGCAGACTTAGGAACACTGAAAGATTCTGGCATTTCCTAATAAGAAAACATATTAGTTTTTTTCTCGCATGTTGCCCCTTGCCGGTTTGGTAGCACATGCTTTTAATCCCAGCACTAACCCTGTCTCAAGTACACAAAAACAAAACAAAACACAAATGTCACCTCTCTGCACCAGAGCACCAGAGCCAGCTGGCTGCCCGTTAAAATGGTTTACTATAACCCACTTCTAATCAAGCAAGTCTGGACTAAGACAGGCTTTGTGTTTGTTTGTTTTGAGACAGGGTCTTCCTGTAACCCCAGCTGGTATGGCACTTGCTGTATAGACCAGGCAGGCTGGCTTCACTCTCACAGAGATCTGTCTGCCTCTGTTCCAGAGTGCTGGGATTAAAGGCATGTACCACCACATCCAGCTAAAATGGGCATTAAAAAAAAATATTTTATTTATTTAGTCTTTTTTGAGACAGGGTTTCCTTGTAGCCCCAGCTGTTCTGGAACTCACTATGTAGACCAGGCTGGCCTCGAACTCACAGAGATCCACCTGACTCTTTGACTTTTGAACTTAGCTTTTTTTTAAAAAAAATTTTATTTATTATTTTTATTTTATGTGTATGAGTGTATTGCCTGCACGTGAGTGCACCCGTGTAGTGCAATGCCACAGAGGTCAGAAGAGGGCGTCAGATTCCCCTGGAACTCGAGTTAAGGACGGTTCGTAGCCGTCATGTGGGTGCTGGGAATCGAACCCGGGTCCTCTGCAACAGCAGACAGTGCTCTTAACTGCTGAGCCATCTCTCTAGCCCCAAAATGGACATTTTAAATAAACTCCTCTACCTACAATATTCTAATCCCTAATCCAAGCTCCTCTCTGGGCTCCCACCCCCTACTTGACACAGCCCCTTTCACAGGCTTTCACCCCCCCTTACTTGATACAGGTGGCGGCTCATTGGTGTTGACACTGAGGAGCTTAGGCCATACTTGGCACCTGATCTCATCAGTCAGGAGCCCTCCCTCGCTGATAGCCATGCGTCGGAGGGCAGCCACATCAGCAGGATTGCTGTTCAGTGCCTGGTGTATCTCTTCCACCTTCTTTTTCCTTTTGGCGTTAAAGTCTGGGAAACAAAAAACAAAAATAAAAACCAATGTGCTCTCCAGAGGATGATGTAACATTCGGCATGTGCAGTTTTCTACTTAGTGTTCTATCTCTTAGCTGGTTTGAAGTGAAACAGGCACATTTTCTTAAACAGCTCTGAGATCACTGGCTGGTGTAGTCTCAGGGCCAAAGGCAATCACTATGTAGCCTAGGCTGGCTTTGAACGTGAGGTCCTTCTCAGGGATTACAAGCCTGGGCTAGCACAACCAGCTAGAGGCACTATTAATTTCAAACTCAGTATGCTGAATCTGGGGGTCCTTGGAGGAACAGACACACATTAAAACTGATTTGAAGTTGTCTACAAGATGTATTTAAAAACTGAAGCCAGCCTGCCTGGTCTACATCTTTTTTTTTTTTTTTTTAAGCCAGGCATGGTGGCACATCCCTTTGATCCCAGCACTCGGGAGGCAGAGACAGGTGGATCTCTGTGAGTTCAAGGCCAGCCTGGTCTACATAGCAAATTGAGGCCAGCTGGGGCTACAGGGTCTCAAAAAGACCAAAAGAAAAAAATTGATCTTTTTGTAAGCCTGAACTTCTGACCATAGTCACAGCCCAAAATAACTGGGGTTTTTTGGTGTGTGTTATTGGCTACTTAAAAAACAAAATAAAATAAAATAAAATAAAAAGACATTTTAATATAGGCTTAAGCCATAAGGGTTGAGAGAAAGAAAAGAGGTAGTCAGAAAGACAAATCCAAGAACAGAGTTTTTCTGAGAGAAAGTTGTCTGGCTGTTTTGTTTTATTATAGCCAAGGATGACTTTGAACTCCTGGCTGTTTTACTTTTAGGATAGGGTCTCACCTTGTAGCTTACCCAGGCCTTGAATCTGAGATACTCCTACCTCTGCCTCTTGTGCAATTATGTTTTGTTTTTTGTTTACTTGTTTTTTTTGTCTTTTTGAAATAGGGTCTCCGTATGGCCCCAGCTGTCCTGGAACTCACTATGTAGACCAGGCTGGCCTTGAACTCACAGAGATTGACCTGACTCTGCCTCCAAGTGCTGGGACTAAAGGCCTGCACTACTACGTCCCACAAAATTATAGTGGTTTTTTTTTTTTTTTTCTTTTTGAGAAAGGGTCTCCCTGTAGTCCCAGCTGTCCTAGAACTCACTATGTAGACCAGGCTGGCCTTGAACTCACAGAGATCTGTCTGCCTGTGCCTCCCAAGTGCTGGGACTACAGGCGTGTGCCACCATGCCTGGCTCAAAATTATGTTTTTAAAGGAAGCAAAAGGGCTGGTGAAATGGCAGCAGATAAAGGTGTTTGCAGTACAAGCCTAGTGACCTGAGCTCTGTCCTGGGAACTCACATAAGTGGAAGAAGATCAATCCACAAGGTTGTCCTCTGCCCTCCACACATGCACTGTGGCATTAATGCCCACATAAATATTAATAACACACATCACGTACACACCCGTAAAATAAGCTCATTAACAAAGAGGCGGTAGAAAAGGGTTGTGTGAACATCTCACAGATCTCTGCCACTTACCTGGTTCTGTAACTTTGGGAAAATCATTTCACTTCTTTTTCACATGTACATGGCACATGGAGACCCAAAGTTGACATGGGGAGTCGTCCTCCACCTCTTTCCACTTTACTGAGTCAAGGTCTCCCAATTGAAGCTGGAACTAGCCAGCTTGCTCTGGGCATTCCAAGTCACTGTCTTTCCAGGACTTGAATTACAGGTACAATGCCATGTTCACCTGTCATTTACATGTGTCAGTGGGGATCCAAACCCTGATCCTCACTCTTGCTGTCTTCGAAACCTACACATATTTAATTATCACATAATGAGTAAAACACTACAGATATATCCTGTGTAGGTAAGAAAGAATTACAAGGACAGTGTTCTGTAAGCTCTGGCATCTCTAACAGTTACTGGTTTCCCTGTTCTTACCACCAATATTTCACAGAGCATAATTATCTCAGTATAAGTGTTTTTCTGGGCTCAGTGGTAGAGCATTTTACTAACATAGGAAATGTCCTCAGTTCAACTCTCAGTACTGGAAAAAAAATCTTTTTTTCCTGTTTATACAGAAAAAAAAAAATGTATGGACACAGTAACGCATGCTTTTAATCCCAGTCCTCAGGAGGAAGAGGCAGCTGGATCTTTGAGTTTGAGGCTAGCCTGTTCTACATAGACAGTTCCAGACTGGCCAGATCTATGGTAAGACCCAGACCATTAAAAAAAAAAAAAAAAAGAAATTTAGAACTCAATACTAGGCTTAGGGATGTAAGAACTCAATACTAGGCTTAGGGATGTAGCACAGTAGTAGAGCACTTTTTGAGTGTGTGTGAGGCCCCCTCAACTCTAACTACATTTTGACAAGCCATATGGAAATCTCCCAATACATACTAACAGAAATGGAGACATTTTCAAAATGTGGGTGTCAAAGGATGCATGGGTTTCAGTGTGGCTGGAGGGGCCACGACACTGTACACAAGGTGACTGTTTCTCAAAAGCCACATTTGGGGCTGGAGAGAGATTAGGTGGCTCACAGCTGCCTGTAACTCCAGCTCCAGGAGAGCCAAAGGTACCACATAAATCCATGCAGGCACAGGTGTGAATGCATGTGCATGTGCGCACACACAAACACAAATAAAAATAAACAAATCTTGGGGCTGGAGAGTTGGCTCAGTGGTTAAGAGCCTGGGTGGTCTTGCAGAGGACCAGGATTTTATTCCCAGCACCCACATGGTGGGACTGTAAGCATCTATAACTCCAGTTCTTGGAATCTGATGTCCCTCTTCTGGCCTCTATGGGCACCAGGCACACACATGGTACATATATACACATACAGGCAAACACTCTTACACATAAAATAAAAATAAATAATTTTTAAAAAGCCGTATTTGCTGGGCATGGTGGCGCATGCCTTTAGTCCCAGCGCTCAGGAGGCAGAAGCAGGTGGATCTCTGTTAAAGGCCAGCCCGTCTACACAGTGAGTTCCAGGCCAGCTGGGATTACAGGGAGACCCTGTCTCAAAAAGATCCCCTTCCCCGCAAAAAGCCACATTCATCACTGGCTATCAGGAAGTGGTGTTACACATCTTGTAGTTTTTTAATTAAATTACATTTTATTTATTATCATTGATGTGTGTGATGTGTACGTGTGCAGGTCAGAGAACAACTTTCAGGAGCTGCTTTTTTCCTTCCACAATGGGTTCCAGAGATTGAACTCAGGTGGTCAGGCTCTCATGGCAAGTGTTTTTACCAGATGATCCATCCTGCTGGTCTTATCTATACTTTTTATACTTTAAAAAAACAATTTCTTTATACTTTAAAAAACAATTTTAAACATCAGATTTTTTTATTCATTAATTTTTATTTTATGTATGAGTGTTTTGCCTTCATGTATATAATATATAAGCGCACCAAGTATGCGAGATGCCTTCAGAGGCCAGAAGAGAGCATCAGATCCCCTGGAACTGGAGTTAGACTGTTGTGAACCTAGGTCCTCTGGAAGAGCAGCGCTCTTAACTGCTGAGCCATTTCTCTAGTCCCCCTTTTTTAAATACTTTTTTGAGATGGGTTAGTCAAACTCTCTATGTAGCCAAGAATTACCTTAACTCCTGATCCTCTGCTTCTACCTCCCAAGTGATGGGATCACCAGCCTCTGCTGCCATACCTGATTTTATGCAGTGGACTGAACCCAGGGCTTCCTGTATGCTAGCATACACTCTACCAACTGAACTATATCCTCCGCCCCAAAGCAGCTTACACTATATGTGACTGTCTGTTATTTACAGTCTGTTTATTATGTTTAAATTACTTTTTTAGAGGCCAAGCATGATGGTGCATGCCTATAATCTCAACATTTGCAGCAGATTCAAAGCGTTATAAGTTCAAAGCCAGCTCCTCTACATAGCATGTTCAAGGCAGCCTGGGCTATCCTATTTCAAAAACAAAATAGTTGGGCTGTGGTGGCACCAAGCATCTAATTCTGACACTTGGGAGGCAGAAGTAGGCAGAACACTGAGTTCCAGGCCAGTCAGAGCTACACAGACCCTGCCTCAACCAAACCAAACCAAACCAAACCAAACCCCCCGAAAGGGAAAAACAACTTTCTTAGGAAGCAGGCTGGAATCTGAAGCTGTCTGTCCTTTTCTTCTGGTCAATGTCACAGCCTCTCTGACTTCAAGCAGGACACCTACTTTGAAGGATGGCTTGCTAAGTGGATGATATTGTGGTCAGATCTCATGGTTACCTGTACCATTAAGAAAGTAAGTTAAAATCAAAATAATTTCAACATGACAGCATAAAATGTCACAAGGCAGGGTATGTGGACAGTAAGGCCAAGAGTACAACAGTCAGGTTGGGCATGGTGGTGCACACCTTTAATCTCAGCACTCTGAAGGCAAAGGCAGGTAGATCTCTATGAGATCCAGCCTGGCCTGGTCTGCAAAGAGAGTTCTAGGTCCAGGGTGGATGCTAAGTTAAATGGCTGATTTAATTAAAAATCACTAAAAAAAAAAAAAAAATCAGGCTCCTCTGTCAGCAGAGTACCTCTCTAGACCAATGTTTCTGAGGTATGTCAAGCTCGTCTCAGGTGTACCTGCCTCCTTCCCATCCACTTGCCAGTCTATCAATTTAATGAGACTCTCCTGTACGATGCACTGAACTGGGGTAAAAATAGGAACATGACTCCCTTGCAGCCCTTGAGAAGCTCAGAGCAGGGAGGAAAACAATTATACAGGATGTTAGAGAGTCCTGAAGGGATGAAGACCCAGAGGAAAGATTATTTCTGAGGCAATGAGGAAAGGCTTTGCTAGGAATTGATTCTGGTACCTGAGACCTTTGCACATGGAAGAATGTTTTGAAAGGAAAGCGTTCCTGGCACAGGAAAGCATGTGAGCAAAGACAGTGGCACATGAGTGAAACACCAGGTCCCAGAGACAGAAGCCAGGGTCAGACACAGGGAGAGAACAGATGTGGACGGAGGGACAGGAGTAAGGGAGGCTGATGTTCAGGCTGGTTCCTCCTGCAGTCTGGGCTTTTCCCTGTAGGCCAAATCCTTCAAAGACTAGACATATTCCAAGAGGGTCAAGATGGGCAACAAACAGATTTCTTTACTTTTGATTTTCTGGCAATGCAGATGAACTCAGGGCCTTGTGTACACTGCACAAGCACTCCATGATGTGAACTACTTGCTCTGAACACAGGCTAGCAGGAACTGGGTTGGCTTCTGACAACAAAAACAAAGAGTCATTTGCAATTGGTGGAATTTTCAAAAAAGAATTTTATTTTTATTTCTTGTGTATGTTTTACCTGAATGTAAGTACACCCATGGGTGCAATGCCCCCGGAGACCAAAAGAGGGTGGTGGATCCTCTGGAACTGAGGTCACAGAGGGTTGTTAGTCACCATGCAGGTGCTGGGAACCAAAGTAGGGTCCTCTCCAAGATCCGCCAGTGCTCTTATCCACTGAAGCCAGTCTCCAGCCCCATTTGAAATTGTTCCAAAGTGTCCTACCACACATCACGAGGAAAGAGCACTGAGATGGTGGTCCCAAGGATTGCTTGGGGGAAACTACTGACATTTAGAAGTTTTGTTGACCTCTTTGCCAAGACTGTGGAAAATTTTTCTCAGTTTAAACATTTCTACCACACTCCTCATTCCAAGTGAGCTTTTCAGCAATGTGGGGGATGGGGGGGACAAGAGACTGTTCCTATCCTGGGGAGAAGAACACAGCTTGCAATCTGCTGTATTTCTGTGAGGTTTGGGCAAAGACACAGCCAAACATTAATTCTGGACCAAACCACAGCTCCAACACTTCTAAGACTATTCCAGATCTTTTACTTCTGCATTCCCAAACTTACTATTTAGTTTTTGATTCTCTGAGGGAACTCAATAAATATGTGTGCAATACAGTATCTGACTTTTATTGCTCCTCTGGAAGGACTACAGGACCACTGCCCTATAGTAAATGGCATTACTTTTCTTCACACTTCTGTGCTACTCACTGCAGAATCCTCAACAATTTTGTCAATTCTCTGGCTTATTCTTACAGCTCTGGATGGTTCCCAGAGGAGAGTGCTCAGATGTGGATTTGAGTTACTGCCTGTTCACCTGGATACTGCCTTCCTTAACCTCACATTCCAGTAGTTAAAGCTTAGTGGTAGGGCCAGCAAGATGGCCTGGTGGGTGAAGGTGCTTGCATACAAGCCGGAAGACTGTGTTCCACACCAAGACACCACAAGGTGGCAGGAGAACTGACTCATGAAAGTTGTCCTCTGATCGCCACACAAGAGCTGTGACAGATGACGAAGGCACCCCTACATATGCCACCCCGACAAATATTTTACTTTGCACCTAATATATAGCCTGTCATTGTGAAACAGAAAAAAGGCAAAAGACTCAAGTAAGCTACAGATATATAAACCACACTGATGTCAGCTGCTAGACCACATAATAGAGTTCATATACACCCTACTTATCTCACAAAGTCAAAAGCCAGAAAGCTACCCAAGATGCTAGGAAACAAAGTGAATGTCTACTGCCTAATTTATTTTAAGGTAAATTATCTACATAGATTTCTTTACTGCCTCACTTACAAGAGCGGTGTGTTGTATATTCTAAAGCAGATACCTTCCAAATTCCTTTGTGGTGAAGGATTTTCTATCATAACCATGATGGAGTACAATGATTATCCTAGGTCTGGCTATACAATACACAGCTGCTATAATTGAGTCAACAACAACAAAAGAAATGGGGGTCTGGAGAGATGGCTCAGTGGTTAAGAGCACTGGCACTGGCTACTTTTTTTTTTTTTTTAATCTTTTGAAACAGGGTCTCCCTATATCCCCAGCTGACCTGGAACTCACTCACTATGTACACCAAGCTGGCCTTCAACTCACAGAGATTTACCTGCCTCTACCTCCTGAATGCTGGAATTAAAGGTGTGTGCCACCACACCCGGCCTGTACTGGCTGCTCTTACAGAGGACCCAGGTTTAATTCCCAGCATCCACATGGCAAACAACCATCTGTAAATTTATTTAGTTCCAGGGGTATCTGACACCCTCTTCTGACCTCCGTGCACACTGCAGGACATAGGTGCACTTACATACATGCAGGCAATACACTCATACACATAAAATAAAAAGAAAAAAAGAAAAAGAAATACCACTGGTACTTTGGCCTACTCTCCACCACCACCATCACTATCATCAACATATTTTGTGTGGTACTGGGGCTGAAATCTAGGGCCTTGTGCATGCCAGGTAGGTGTGTGCTAGTCCTGAGCTAACCCCTAACCCTACAATGCCTATTTTAATAAAGGCCACTGGAGCAGAGGATTTTCCCAGTCCTGGTACTGAAAACTGAACCCAGGGCCTCACATATGCTAGGCAAGTATATCAATGAGCTATATCCCCTACCAGCTCTTGAGACAGGATCTTGCTACATAATTCTGGCTGGGCTCAACTCAGGATTTTCCTGCCTCAGCCTCCTCCATGCTGAGATCCTAGGCAAGCACTAGCACACCTGGCCTGAAGCAGAGTTTAACAACTCAGACAACTCTGGTTAAAAAACCTAGTAGACTTCTGACTCCTCAAAGTAAAAGGTATTTCTAAAATCACTCATCTTGGGGAACTTAAGATATACAGAAGGGCAATTACTAGAAATTAACACAGATGGCCAGGCCTTTAATCACAGCACTCAGGAAGTAGAGACAGGCAGATCTCTGTGAGTTGGGAGGCCATCCTAGTCTACACAGTGAGTTCCAGGTCAGCCAGGGCTACTAAGTGAGACCCCACCCCACCCCCGCTCCACTGCTCAAAAAAAAAGAACAGAACACAACTACACTTCTGTCTTTCCATAACCTCAATTAATTAGTAACTTGGATCTGGTCTACAGTGGTCTACATATTGTATAATGGAAACTTCTGAGGATAAAAAAATCCCATACTGAGTATTTGGTTTAAGCTTGAAACTCAAGAAGACTTTACAGTCTTTAACAGAAGTTAAATGGGTTTTTTTTTAAAAAAAAAAAAATACTTTATTCATTCATTTTTTTATGTGTATGAGTATACTGCCTTGCAATGTAAGTGCCCCTTGGAGGTTACAAGAGGGCATCAGATCCCCTGGGACTGTAGTTACAGACAGTTGTTAGCTGCCATGTGGGTGCTGGGATTTGAACCCACATCCTCTGCAAAAGCAGTCAGTGCTCTTAACCACTGAGCCATCTCTCCAGCTCCTAAACTTGGGTTTTCAACATATGGTGCTGGGGAGCACCATAAAAACCCAAACCAAAACAGTACTCCTTAAAAATGCTAGTGCTCTGTTTCAGCAGCATATTGACTGATAAACTGAACCAATACAGAGAGGACAAGGACAACGCTAACAGGTGTGGCATGCCTGTAACCTAACATCTGGGAGAAGGCAGAGGCAGGAAGATCA